TCTCCAGTGTGGTCAACTACATGTGTCGGAAACTTTGGAAATTTCCTGTTGCTCTACATTTCTGCCCGAATTCTATAATTATCGAGGAAACTCTGAGCTCAGGTGAGGAAAGCGGAGATATATTCCTCCAACACTGCGGACCTCTTCATCTGTCGCAGAGGGCAGCGCTATCGCTAACTGGGACTTCACGCGTTGTCTCCAGTCTTGTTGAAATCCTGCGACTTCACCATAGAATAGCCCGACCTGAGAGGTTCTCTAAGTTGAATAATCTGATTCGTTTATCGAATTACTCCCCTTCCGAATCGGAACACACAATCATTCTTCAATTGTACACTCTCTCTGGCTCACACTCTCACTGAAGCGACTCAGGTGTGATCATCTACCGTGTGAACAACAACCAAACCGTTATTATGCAAAGTAACATTTTTTCAACACCTTCAATTTTCGAAAGTCAACTTTGAGTGATATCAACATGATAACAATGTGAATCGATTGACACCAACGTTTTAGAAGCGTTCCATAGTCTATATTCGTATTACTCTCGAATTGAAAAAAGCCACCTCGAAAATCTAGATATGCATAACTGTTTGCTTCGCACTGTATACTAACAGAAGTAGACGCTTACCAGCTTCCTGAATTCGTGCATAAGCATAAGGCAACCACTACGCCTAGCCCTGAGGTCCACGTTTCCTTCAGAGGTGCCATCGCCCTGAGCTAATTGCTCAGTCGCCTCAGCCTCTCGCTGGATCTACCATCAACAGCCTCAAACGCACCATCGAAAATGAAGAGAGTGAACATTGGAGTTTCACCCGTTTTACGTGGAATGGCGTAAGACTCCATGTGAAAAAGAGTGAGTTTTGCGAAATAAAGTGAATTCAAAATACATCGCGAAGTACAAGATCACCCCGTTTCATGTGAAAAAAACTCACAGCATTTCACTAGTGTTTTACGCGTTCTTCATTGCTTGCATGCGTTTTTCGCGAAGTGAAATATGTTTTTCACTAGTGTCTTTATCGGTGAAACCCCATTGTTTTACCTGTGATTTCAACTCGTGAAATTGTCGTGTTGTGTAGGAACGGGCGTCCTCAAAGGCCACCAACGTTCCTGAATGAACACATTGGAGATTCACCCGTTTAACGCGAAGTGGCGTAGCACTCTGTAAAAAACTCGATATTCGCGATATGCAGTAGTAGTGGAATATTTTTTTCATATCACGGGTGAAACTCCATTATTATCAAACATATTTCCCTCAATCGATAATATGAATAGTTTGGGGTATTTTTGTTGAGTTTCGCAGTGTGCTGAAATTCTTAGGAAATTCTTTTTGCTCTCTGTGCACTTCTACCCGAATTCTTTTGTGAATTTCTATAATCAGTGAGGAAACTCCTGAGCTCAGCTGAAGTATAGCAAACATATATTCCTCCAATACGGGTCCATCCCAACCTACTATTAACACTAGCATCGGTCGTAGCAGTAGCCAACGCCTCTCGACACCGCTCGAGCGAAGTAATTTCTTTTCGAAGAAGTCCGATCTTCGACAACAACTCCCCTGAAATTGAGTATTTCAGTCACTACTGGAGTTTCACCCATTTCACGCAAAACGCATCACGTGCTTTACGCGTTATTTACTGCTCACATGCGTTTTTCGCGAAGTGAATTGTGAAATATATTTTCCACTAGTGTTTTTCATATCACAGGTGAAACTTTGTGATGAGATTGTGTTGGTGTCTTATTTTGTGTATATATGGAACTAGTATCTCAGCCTCAACTAGTGCTACTCATGATTACTATACTCATTATAAGTTTAAATTGAAGACTAAGTGTCCTCAACGGCTCTGTGTGAGCTGAGTTGTGGCGAATAATACTTTTCACTACAATTTCACATATTTGCTGCCCACCTTTTCTCTTCAAAAACTCTACCATTTCCCCGTCACTTCGTTGCGATGTTCTCGACTCCAACGTGCCTACCATAAAAGATTCCTCCTCAGCCAAACACAAGCAATCATTTCGGGATGTTTCCAACCTAATATTAATATATCTGCTATCTTGCTCGTGAAACAAATGGGGTAAAACGTTGATTACTCGGAATTTTTCGCGCGTTTTCCGTAAAACGCGGTGTTTTTTTCCGATGCTAAAGACTAATTCGGTTTCTCGTGAGCTCAAGTACTTCCTTGCTAGTCCAACTAAGCTGAGCTGTTGGCACACACGTGCTGAATTCTCAAGTTCACCCGTGGAGAAAATACACGTCTTAGAGCTGACTTCAATAACTACATTCAACCATGATGATTTTGAAATTCCCCACACTCACCCGCACTGCCGTAATTTTCCAACGGTACAAGCAACGACTGAGCCCGTAGATCCTCGATATGATCTTTCATGCGAGAATCCACACAAGGGGCCTTACGGAAGCACCGTTCTTGCCAATTCGCTACAAATGTCGTGAATAGAGGATTGATATAGAATGATCGTCACCAGTGTTGGGGGAATATCTGTTCGCTTTCCTCACTAATTATAGAAGTTTACATACGATTTCGGGTACAAGTGTACAGAAACCAACGAGAATTTCCCAAAATTTCCTCATAATTTTCACATAGTCGCCAACACATGTAGTTGACTATGTGCATATTTTTCCGCGCTAGTCCTCCGCGGGAAACTACTGCGCTCAATTAAGGAGAGCGAACACATATTCCAATACTGCGTGAACTCGATGGAGTTTCCCCTTGACATTGACAAACACCAGAGACCCTTATCAGAGTAGAAACGTTGTCGATCTGATAACAGGTGAATATCAGTATCAGTTTAGTTTACAGCACTGGGCGGTGAGCAAATACCTGCGGAACAATCGATCAAATCGCGCTGAACCACCTCAACCGATTCCTTCAATTTCATGGGACTACTACATGTGATGTGGTCATACTAAACACATGTTCATTTTCAATTCTTATCCTTCAAATTAAATTTTTCATTCATTGAATCATAAGGGAGTTTCACCCGTTCAACGTGAAGTGGCGTAATGCTTTGTGAAAAACGCGATATTCGCGGCCTGTAGTAGTCGTGAAATATGTTTCTCACTAGTGTTTTTCATATCACTAGGGTGAAACTCCAATGTTCGATAGTAGATGCCACTATAACATTACTCAACGTTCCCATCTCTCCTAAAGTGCCGATATATATGTTTGCTTTCCTCGGCCGAATTCAGGAGTTCACTCACTAGCCCTAGATGCTCAAGACAGAAACTCACAAAAATTTCCCGAAATTTTTCAAATTTTCATATCGTCACCAACACACACAATATTTCCCAACCCCGATCTTAAAACTCATATTAATCGATGATAAATGTCATTTTCCCCACAATTTCGCGAACAACCAGAGACCCACCTCGAAGAATGATGTCCACGTTTCCACATCCTGTCAAAGTACGATGACGGTTCGGACTCATCGCTGGACGTAAGTTCCCTCAGTTCTACTGTATCCCATAAACCTGATAACATGAAAACCATCTCACTAAGACGATTGTAGCCAGTGCGGAGGAATATGCACATTGTCAACTACATCACATGTGTTGGTGACAATATGAAAATTGTGAGGAGATTTTGGGAAATTCTCATTGTTTTCTGCACAATTCTATCGAAATTCATATACTTCTATAATTAGTGAGGGAACTCCCGAGCTCAGCTGAAGAGAGCAACAAGGCTGATTGAGGTAGTAGTCGTCATAACATAACTCCGATGGTGAAATTGTATACCTCCAATGACATGGTGTTGGTAATAATATGGAAATTCTGAGGAAACTTGGGGAAATTATGATTAATTTTTGTACACTTCTACCCGAATTTGTATGACTAGTGAGAAAACTTCTAGACTCAACTGAGGAAAGCGAACATCTACGATATATGTTCGCTTTCCTCAGTGATATATTTCAACACTGATGGTCAGTGTTGAAAAATATGTTTCACCTGAGATTCCACGCTGGAATCTCACCCTTTTTACGTGAAGTGGCGTGAAACTCGGTGAAAAACGCGAAATTCGCGCTTTGCAGTAGTCGTGAAATAGGTTTTTCACCAGTGTTTTTCACAGCACGGGTGAAACTCCACTATGTTACAAAAATTCACTCACGACTACGAGTAGAAGTATTAAAAAACTAATGAGAATTTCCTTATTGTCACCAACACATGTAATTGACCGTGTGCATATTCTCCCACACTGTTACACAAGAAGCGCAGTGCTGCAAAAAAAATGTTCGCTCTCTTCAGCTGAGCTCAATATTTTCCTCACTGATTATAGAAGTTTATATACGAGTTGAGAGAATATATACGACAAATGTGCAACAGAGTAACAAGGATTTTCC